CGAGCACACACAATGCCAAAATGCTCAGTGCTACTCGTTTTCTGTCGTACATAATCTAGTTCCGCATAGATATGTCTTCTTCAATAATTCACTCATCCATTCCCATTTTATCAGGTTCCATCTGGTCTTCCGCGTAATTTGGAATCGGCACTCCAACGCTATGCTGGGCTGAGTTGTAAAGCACCGGTTCTGACTTGCTTGGATGTTTGCGGAAGACCAACTCAGGTTCTCACCTACGCCAAATTGTTACAGGTAAGTAGCTAGCATCCGTGACCTGGTTTCATGAACACACGGACCTGTCGCCGCCTGAGGACGACCATCCAAATTAAATTTGGATGACAATATTTTCAGTACGCAAATGTTCCGTCAATTTCCGGGACAGAGAGCTGTGGTCAGATGAAGTTTGCGCTGGAAAATACCGATATATGGAAGATGGTTGTCGGTGGTGAGATTCTAGCTCGTGACCTCCAGTTCGCTTGAGAGGGTGCTTAGTTTAAGAGCTATCTTGTACATAGTCCAATAGCGAACTCTGTAAGTGATTTGAAAGGGCCATACTCTTACAGGAATTGGCTTAGCCAGCTTCCAATCTCACTGTATCTGAGGCTGCAACAGAGAGAATGCTAACCAAATCATGTTACTAATTTCTTCAGGGGATAAATCTCTAATGAAGTGCTCATGCACCCTTGAGGTTGAATTCCGTTAAAATTGGATACCGGAAATTTTCTGGAAGCCAATGGACGAAAAGCGGCCGTCACCACTGAAGCTGTTCTTGTTCTCATGTGCAAATGGTTAAAACGTAGTTATGTGCACCTACACATGTTTAAACGAGCAGGGATTTTCGGAATGAGGGAATTGATTGGAAAATACAGACAGCAGGTGTAGAGTATTATGCGGGATTGAGAGGAAAAACTAGACAGATGGGAAGGAGGGTTTTCCAAATGGGTACCCAAGACTTTAGGGCACGACATACTTCGCGACAGCCTACATCGACGAAGGGGTTCTTCTTTGGGAACTCTAACCGGAGCCTTCGACTCAATAGTCTGACCCACATGGCTGTGGGGCGTAAATCCAACGCGGGAGCGTGAACGAAGCACCCGTGTGGAAGCTTCTGGAGACCTGTCACTCAAGGCCTTTGAATTTCGGTTCAGTGTGTTGTTC